GATCTGAAAAAGACTGTTAATCAGAACGTTTCATTTTCATCAGCTGACAGACTAAAAGTGACTCAGCAGAAGTTTAGTTCTGAACGCAGAGTCATGCAGTCGAACGTCATCTGTAAATCATTGTCTGTCTGGACTGAAGTGAAAAACAGAGGAGGAAGTTGGTCAGGCTCATGACTATTTTAGTAGCAGTGACCGTTTATGGTTTTTGTGGCGTCGCTTTGAAAAAAATTCTCAGGAGGGCAATGCCACCTCTTTAAAACTTATTTTTCAAGATTTTATCAGAGCCTGCATTCATATTCAATGAAGTGACTCAAAAAGACACGAAACCATTGTGGGTGGATTTTCACAGAGTTTCCTTTGCTCTGTCTGCAAAACATCACATTCAGCTGAAGCTCTTTGTTGGTTTGGTGCATTTTTACAGCTCTAGAAGTAAAGGGATTGAGATAAAGAACAAATTTTTTACCTGTTAGAGACAGCTCTTTAAACAACCTCAGTTTGGAGAAACAGTTGAAATTTTGACTGTACTGATGAGCTAACGACTAGTCAGAGGGGCTAGAACAAAGTGAATAGCCAAGTCTTAATACAAATAGCAGCAGTAGCTTTTTAGTACTTCCTGTCCACATTTTTTTTTGTCAAAATACTAATGTAATGTGAAATTGATGGCAGCGTGAATCGTTATAACCCACTTTGACCTTGGTCCTCATCTGATTAGCTGTTGTTAATCTGGTGGAAAACACATTTTTCCTATAAATCAAGGTCTCTAAAAGAGATAAGAAAAATATAAGACAACATTGTTTATAACCTTTACATAGAATTCCACATTTAATGATATGAACTGTCACTTTAACTTATATTCTGAGCAGGTTCTATCCTGACAAGAAGTATTTTCATCATTCAAAAACATAACCTTTTGTATGTTTTTTTTTTTTAGATTTATGAAATGAAATATTTGAGCCTTATCTATAATTGTTTTTAAAACAACAACCCCTGGAGCGTCACTATTCCTTTAAGGTCTGGTGTTTTTTACACCAACATCTGAACATGTTGACCTCAATCTTTGACACACTTTGAATAGAYAAACACAGATTTTGATTTTCTATTGTAAAACACCTAGAACATTGTGTAGATTTGAATCCAAAGTAACAAAAGATTAATCAGAGAGTCTGTAAAAACACAGCTCTCATAATTTCAGTATTTGTGATCCTGTTTCCAGTATGGAAAACAACAACAACAACAACAACAATAGTGACGTGGTTATAACAGAAACAGATCAGACAATGTGACTGATTTACCACTTCAGACGTTTCAGTTCCACGTTCAGTTTCCACACTCGTTGTGTATTTAACCCAAAACGGGAACATTAAAAAATACCTTCTGCTATTTTTGGCCTTTCATAGTAAATGTTTCTGGTTTCATTTATATTGGTGTGACGTTAACCTTTAGTGAGACTGGCGCAGACCTCAGGATCCCCCTCAGAGATATGAATCTACATGAGAATTAGAGCGAGTGGTGAGAGGTGGGCGACGATGTTCTGATTTCACTAAAGGGGGAATTTGGAGCACTTAATGCCACATTCTGACATATATAKCATGACACAGGAAGCAATACTGTGGGTTTTCTAACTGTCTGATAAATCTCTGATACAGAGAAAAATGCAGAAGCTGACATTCAGAAATACGTATAAAATAATAATAAAAAAAGTTTCCCCATTACCAAAAACACTCTGTGCACTTGTGATGCATGGAGATCCCCACGTTGCTGACGTTTGACCCCTATTTTGTCCTAGCATCAGCGCAGACTGAAATTGGGAGGCTGACGGGCGAGTGAGGGAGATAATTTAGAGACAAAACCCGRGTGATGAGCAAAATTGAAGCTGAAATTCGGAGGATAAAAAAGGTGTTTGATAAGGATGTCTGGGCGAGACTGTGTGTGTGTTTGTGGCTGGAGAGTGATGAGATGGAAAGCCGGCCGTCTGCTAACACAAACAAACCGGAGGCAGAGGAAGAAAAAAAAAGAGTGAAATGAGAAGGAGGAGGGAGGATGTGGAGCTTGGAACAGTGGAGGAGTGTTTCGTGTCAGATTTACAGCACTGACAGACGTCATTAAGATACTGATGTTGACCAGCATTGACGGGGCGAGCATGTGTTTACACTGGAGTCCATTATCAAGTTTGCTCTGCTGAGAGTACATCCATATTTAGCCCTAATACCCTCCCCCTACCCCACCTTCATCAGCCTGACGTGGAGAAGAATGGTCTGGATGTTTCAGAGATGTTTCACACACTTAGAAAACAGCGTGGAGTGTGTTTTCGTCATCATCATAATTGAGAGTGACTGCTGAGGCCGAGGCTACGGGGAGGTGTTTGGCTCTCATTTGATGAATGAATGAATGAGAGGACAGGAGACTTGGCTCAACTCCAGGCTCCTGTGAGGAGGGCGGTGGTGGTGGCGGTGGTGGGAAGGGGGTGGGAGGTCAAGCGCAGCAGATAAACGCTGAGCTTTTTACTGCTGCACTTTGGTTCTCACCGCTGGCACGCTCTTAATCACCGTTCGGGCTTCGTGCCAAGCTAAACATGTCTGCTTTATTTGGCGGACTTTGAAAAGAGACAACCGGGATCACGCCAAAGATGGACGACCTTATTGTCCTCTTGTCTGTTTTCTTCTGGCTCCAAAAGCCGAGTTGTTCATCTGGAGCTCAGCTCAGAGAGGAGAGGTTACTACATGTCAGTGGATTCTTTGTACAAAGGACCTGAACCCACTCTGCATTTTCTCCCCTCTACCCATAGCACCAGAACCGAACTGTAAGATCTCTGAATATGCTGACCCAGGCACCTCTATGAAAGATTTTCCAGGTATTAAGTTAAAGTTTAGAAGGAACAATATCTCATCTGTCATCAATTTCTCTTGAAGAAAGAGTTTGTACTTGACAGGACTGACAATGAAAAACAACTTCAGTCTCTTGAAGTGCTTTGTATTTTCATTTCTTTTCATTTTGGTTTAATCACCTGAAAACATTGCCATAAACCGGAGTACGAGGAAACCCACAAATACAACAAACTCTCCTCCAGTAAAAGGTGGAAACAAGGCCGAGAATCCACAATCCGCTCACTCAATTTGTCCCTTACGGATGACAAAGTAAGCATTGGAAGGAGAAAATGCACAATGTGTTATTAGTAGTAACACAATATCCACAATAAACAATATCTATTGTGGATTCTTGGCTTTAACAACAAGCTACCACTCCACATTGTGGACAATGTGGGAGTCAAATCACCGCTTACTATTTTAAGCTTTTCAAATGAAGAAGCTAGTTTGACTGATGATGTATAATTTTAGAACACAGAGTGACTGATTTAGAGTAAAAAAAATGAAAGTGCAATTGTCATCTATTCATTGTTGTTGGATAAACAATACGGGTGTAAATCACCAGCTTTATCATGATACAACATTATCATTTGTTTAGATGACCATACGATGTTTCTTGATACACAAAATCTGTCATGATATGATTTTGATTCAATTTAATTCATGTCTGTGATTGATAGGATGCTATATATATATATATATATATATATATATAAAGTGTCATTTTAACACCTATAGTGTTGAATTTAACTCTGTTTCATATAACATTTGTAAATGCGCTCTATAGCCAGTGTAAACATTTCAGAATTAATTTTACTCATTTTAGTGTCGAAATCAACAATGAAACGAGTAAAATTATATAACACTATATTTTGTTTACACTTTGCAGAGTAATTTTTTATTTTTTATGGGGTTCATTTTACTCTAAATTTATTTTAAAAGTACACTTTATTGTGTAATAGTATTATTTTTTTTTACACAGTAAGAGTCAGAGTACACAGAGTTCTGCACTCTAGAGTTATAATCAACTTTTGAAGGGTTGCATTAACACTGGTCACACGTTAGCAAAGCAGCGCAACAGAGTCGACCCTCACACACACCAGGAAGTACCTCCCACTCATGGTGTCGATTTATGACCAATAACACAAAATTTAAACTTGAAAAACTAAACAACCTGAACAAGAAAACTAACCAGAAAAACAATTTTTTTACACTCATGAACCTTTTTGATGCAAACACATCATTTCTACAAGATTACTCAGCATTCTTAGCTGAGAAAACTCTGGTCCACAAGGAAGAGGGCGGGGCTTTTCAGAATTTTTTTTCAACACTGCTCTGTGTTTTATAACAACACTGTTAAGTTTTACATAAGACTTAACAGTGGGCGGAGCTTATTTAACACTGTCCAAAGTTGAGACAACACTGATGAAATCAACTATGTGAATTAACACCAACACTGTAAGTCAGTTTACTCAGAAAGTGTTAAAATAACACTCGGGGAGCTGAAATTAACTCTGAAAGGTTTAACACTGAAAGTTTAACACTCCCGTTTTTCCAGTCATTTTCGGGTTCAAATCAAGCAAACGTATTGTAATATCCCCTGCAGAATTAGCCTTATGCTGTGAAACTGGCAGTGATGTTAAAATGTAAACAAAAGCATTGCATGAGAGGCTAGAGTTTTGAAGGCATCCACAGCAGGTAAGATATTAACTGCTCATGAATGCAGAACTTCATTGCGGAATGGCCAGGATGTCCCTTTACCTGTCCAAAGCCACCGTCCATAAAACGCAGGAGTTAACTCAGTGCTGCCCCCTTTCAGCAGCACAAACAGCAGTGTTCGGTTCAAGGACGCGGTCCAGCTGGAATGCACCACATCACAACTCTCCTGTCTCTCTCTCCGACTGCCTGTTTGTCCCGCCCCCTTTTCAGCCAGCGTCGTTTCCATGGTGCCGCCTGTCTGAGTCAGTCAGTCAGTCAGTCAGTCAGTCAGTCAGTCAGTCAGTCAGTCAGTCAGTCAGTCAGTCAGTCAGTCAGTCAAAACGCGCTCCTGGATTTGGAGCGTTGATGTGTTCAGAGCGTGTCGGCGCGCGCCTCCTGAACGCAGAGCGCTTCTCCGTACCTGCGCGAGACTTTCCCACGGCGGCTCTGAGACAAACAGAAGAGGGAGACAGGGACAGACAGAAAGAGAGAGAGAGGGTCCATTGTCGGATACACACCTGGGAATAAATGGAGGGAGCCGCTGTCCAACTATTGCTTCACCTCTCGTGGTCCAGCGGGGAGCGCGCTCGTGTAAAGCTCATTTGACCCGGGGATGTGAATACCTCCCCGGGATTAGAGGGGGTGTTTTCAGGGGGGTGGAGGAGGAGGGGGCGAGAGAGTGGAGGACAATGTCCCGTGGCCATTGTTCCTGCGGCGGCGGACTCACGGAGCTCAGTTTCAGCCGGTTCCTCCTCCAGCAGCTGCTCGTCTCGTCTTGAATCTCGGATAGGATGACTTCCGGGCGCCGCAGCCTTCCTCCTCCGGGGGTCCTCCTGCTCTGCTGCACGGCGGTGCTCACAGCCTCCAGCGCCGGTGAGTGGAACCTGATTWGAGCCAATCACATAACGACCCAGCAATTAGGCTTTTTATCACCACTAAGACTCATTATCAGCTTTCATCTAACTTCTGTGGGGAATTAAAAATGCTTAAGATGCTATTCCTAACCATTTTAATTTTATTGTTATAACTTGTGTGGTTTATAGTTACATAATGGAGAGGATGTGGGTTGCTACTGTGACAAATGCATCCAGACTTACTCTGGTTTGAGCCTAAAGGCTGAAAACTCAACCTAAATTTAAATTCAAAAAAATAATCCTCATCAAAACCTTCTGGACCAGTCTGATGTCAACACTCAGCTCAAATAAACAAATTGGCCCATCCCACATGCATGGGAAACAGTTTATAATTTGTATGTAACCTTAATTTATCCCATTGAGAATAAAAAAACTACCAGATAACTGACTAAGAGCAGCAGCAAATACAAAATTACATATAAGACAATAACAGTAAAAATGTTAAATTGATAGACAATAGTAATAATAATAATAACAAAACATCAAGTACATTCTATCTAGTCCCTATCCATCATTTCCAATAAAAAGTTCAGCACATCCCCTATCTGGAGGGGTTTAACAGAGGTCAGAGTGCTAATTGGGTCAGCGAGGCCTGATAATGAGGTCTGTTAATGATGCTTAGACTCACACGCTCTCTCCGTCCTACATTRCTGCTCTGTAAATCACTGAAATTATTCTGGAAAATTAGATTTTAGCTGACAGATGACTTCAGTAAARCGTTAATCTCACTACAGGAAGCTTGAGGTGCACGTTACCCCTTTTGTCATCCCGTTGAGCCAGCATCCTTGCTGTTTGAAGTGATTGCAGGCTACATCGGTGACACACATTCAGAAATGGTCCGCTGAATCACTCCAAATACCCGAGCACTTGTTCCCACGATGATGTGCGCTCCTTAATATTCTGAATGACCTCATCTGAGATGCCAAGTGGCTCTTCCATCATCGAAAGTGTAAATGAGACCTTAAATGTCTACAGAAGCCTCGCTGCATGCCTAATGAGTGTTGACACACACATTCTTTCATATGTTAATCCCTAAATCTTTGTTCTGTTTTTTTTTTTTTTTTGGTTATTGTCTATCAGCAGGAGCCGGTGCATGTTGGTCGCCTGGCGTCACCTCTTGCGCAGATTGCCTCCGTCGTGGACCTCAGTGCGCCTGGTGCTTCAAGGAGGTAGGAATGTGTGACAGACAAAAGGGAAATAAAGCAAACAGTGGGAACGTGGCAGACTTTCAGCAGCATTCCTCAGATGACACGCACCAAAGCTTTCATGGCATTTGCCAATGAGAATATAATGTGTATGTTTGAGCTTAGCAGTCTGCTTTATGTGACCTGTGTGTGTGTGTGTGTGTGTGTGTGTGTGTGAACATTTCCATGCGTGTTTTCTCAGAGATGGAGCCTGGTGTTTAGTCTCTACTCTCACATATCACTGCATCTGTCCATGTTTGTCTTTATCTGCCTGTTTTGTGTGTGAGGAGCTCCCCTGGATCAGCCCTGAGAAACTTTGAGGGGACACTTAAGATATTTTGAAGTGAGGTTATGTGGATCATTTATGAGCAAACAGTATCTTACCTGCTGTACATAGCACTTTGGGTGACAAAAAGGACAGAAGTACYTTATGATTAGATTAACAAGCTAAAGGCTAATCTGAGAGGAGCAAAGTAAATTTCTGCCWTTAAAAAACACTTTTTAAAAGCCTTTACAATATTGTTGATTTAGCTTTACAGCCTTATGCCAGTGGAAACATTATGATAGTTTGGCATAACAATAATAATAATAATAATAATAGCTGTTGCTACCGCTATTTTATTTTCATAAATAATCTTGTAATTCAATGGCTATAATGTTGTTAAATTTGGGTGTACAAGCACTAATCAGAAAGATACAACTTCTCTGTTTWTTTGTGTCAAAAGTAGAGACTTCCAACTATACCCCAGTTTTTAAATTGTGTTGATTGGCCAAATYAAACCGGAMTTATAATAATGTACGCCGCTTTCTTTTTTTTTCTGAACTTGACRGTCCTATTGATGCGCATTGCAGCGGCAGGCAAAAGGAAACACAGGTGTCTCATAGAAAGAAAAAAAAAAACAGCTCAGTCCACCGTCTTATCCTTCTCTTTACCAGAAAAAGCATAATCTCCCCGACCTCCTTCCTGACCAAGAACCAAAGTTATTTGACGAGTGCCAAAAAATCTACAGGAAGAAAAATAGAGACAACAAGAGCAGGAGAAATTAAKTCAACACACCACTGACCATATACCCCGTTTGCCCCGCCCCTTRCCACCCTGCCCCTATTAAATACCCTATACCGCAGTATTATCTAAAGATAATATGTTTGTATGAAAAAGATCAGCACCTCCCAACCCTAATGGCAACATCCACATTGGTATTGGTTCTGCTCTGACTAGTCTTTAGCTCATCTGCTTTGTCAGAATTAAACTCCTACCTATTGCAAAGTGCAACAGATAAGATATTAATTGTTCARGAATTCTTCGAAAGAGCCTRACTTCAGAAGATCTTGCCACCAAACACCCTCACTGTGACGCCACGTTAATTAAACTTCAACAAGCCTCTGTTAAAAYGTGCTTTCCCACCCTTTGAGTCCTAAACTCAAACTGACATCCTCTCATTGGGCTGGGACCGGTTCACTGGTGTGTGTGTGTGTGTGTGAGGGCCTTCAAACATCACCTCCATGACCCCCTACACACAAACACACACAGCCACGCTTGGACGAGCACTGAAAATAAAGCTGCAACAGTATTTATTTAAATGCGTGTCCGCCTTACGCCTCCAGTGCTTGCTAAGGGAGATATACCGCCCAAAGGAAAGTCCCAGGAAGTCAGGCTCAAARGGTTTGGTATTAAGCGTTGTTACCGGGCAAATGATTGCCACAGGGAAATCAAAAAATAGACAGAAGGTAGTCGGGTTTGCAGGTTCATGTCGTGGTCAGACTTTTAGAAAACTCTTACTTTAAACTGTATGATGTTTTCCAGTGGTGAGTTCTCCTTAAATTGCTAGAAATCTCCAGTGATTTAACAGTTTTATTAGGCATGAACTAACTCTGCGTAAATACACACATTTAATGTTCAATGTCTATGAAGTGCCACTGTGTTAAGTAAGTACAAAATGTGACTAATCCTCGTCTGAGCTGTGGCTGTGTCTCAGTTCAGGGGTTACAGCCCACTTAGACTGCGGCCCAGGCCGCCTGCGTAGGCTGCATAAACGGCTGTGAAATGAGACGGTCTAGTCTTAGGATGACAAATGTTTGTGTGACCATGCATTGCCCCATTACGTTTTATATCATATGCGTCAGTTGTCTTTTCAAGGTATAACTTAAAGTTCAGTATTATTTAAAAAAAGTTACACAAAAATGAATAAAAAATTGAATAATTTTGTTTATTAGTGCCTGTAATTGCATTTAGCATCTCATTGCAGCATAAATTTCATCAGCTAAGTTGCTAAACTTACATTAAAAAATAAATTATTTGGTCTGTGATAAATTTCCAAACTCTGCCATAAAAAAAACAAACGCTAAACTCCCCTGCAAAACTTGGCCATCTTTGTTTTACTGTTGTAYTATTGTCAGCCACATAGGATACTCAGCAGCCTACATTTCAAGGTTTTGTTAGCCGACGAATTGGGACAGCCTACGGCGCGGTGCAGCGGCAAATCCACCCTTCGTTGCCTGCATCTCCTAAATTGAAACACTTTGTAGGCTTTGGTTGTTCTTCAAAAAGTAACTACAGCACATTAAATTGATCAAAGTATGAGTCAAATTTGACCTTCAATAAGAGAAAGACAGTTTTGATATTACTATCATCACTCTGGAAAATTAGAGACCACATCAGGAAGTGGATGAGCGAATAACAAAGTGGCGCTTATTGATGTTATCTACTGTGTATCGTATTACTCACACTCCACCACTCACATGATGAAAGAAGAATAAAGAGAAAATAAAACCAAAAGTGAGTAACAGTGAAAGTGAAGGGGTTTCAGTTTGTTCTGCCTCACTGTGCCACACAAAGAGTAAAAGAAGTCAGTAGGGTGGAAACAAACCACAGTTTGTAACATGAAATATGTGACATTGTTACTCATTCAGAGTGGCTCATCACAAACCCAACATTCAAAGCCAACATTGTGTTCGGTCTTTAGGACTTCCTGCATGGTGCCGGGCTGAGTAGTCGCTGTGACCTGCCGGAGAACCTGCGCAGGAGAGGCTGCGRACCGGAGTTCATGGAGCAGTCAGAGGTCAAGGTGGAGGTCGACGCTACGCTCAGCAGTACTCAAGTGTCGCCGCGAGACATCAGCATCACCCTCAGACCAGGTAGACCACCTGCATCTTCAAACTTGATTGTGTTTTAAAGGGGACGCATCATGCAAAATCCACTTTTTTTGTAGTACAGTACAGTTTTTGTGTAGGAGTGCAGAAAAGTTGAACTCAAACTTGTAAGGCTGGATGGACAAGTCTTCCCTTGTTGACATCTTTAAARTAATTTGTAAATAAAATGTTTCTACGCCACTAGATAACCACAACCCCATCTATCAAAGTACAATTAAACGCTAGGGAASCTGGGCGGGGTGTGAAGCATCTCGTTTGGATTMAAAGAGACAGCCTCAAAATGAGTTCATCTGAGAAAAACCTCAGAAAAAAGGGGCTTGTGGAGTTACAATAAAGAGGAATTCAGAACAAAGCATTGCAGTTCCACTGTATAGACCCAAACTGAAGGATTTAAATGTGAAAAAGAAAGATTTAAAAGCAGGATGTCTCCTTTAAGTGTTTGTTTGTGTAGATTTCTCTTTTAATTCACATCATTAAGGCATATGTTGTGTGTCTGTGTGCATTTAGGATCAGAAGCCAGTTTTACTGTGGCTGTGAAGCAGCTGGAGCGCTATCCTGTGGATCTGTACTATCTGGTGGACGTATCGGCCTCCATGCAGGAAAACCTCAATCATGTGGGCGTTGACTCTCAGAGATGCACATTTCTTTTCATTTTTATCTTAAATAAATGTAAACCAAGGTTTTTTTATTCACATGGTTTTCACTCAGTGTTGTTCCATCTGTTATAAGGAATTGCTGGGGGGGGAGGGGGGTTGTCTTTCACTGGAATTTTCTCCTTTTGTTTACATGGTTCTTGCCTTCTGTGTTTCCATCTGTCGTGCAGCTGAAGACGGTCGGCGTGGCTCTGTCCCTTCGTATGACGGAGCACACCTCGGACCTCTGGATGGGCTTCGGCTCGTTTGTGGACAAACCCGTCTCTCCGTACATCAACGTCCATCCCTCGAAGATCAACAACCCCTGCAGGTAAGGCAAACGACTCGTCGGGCGTGGCTTATCCGTTCTGACACTGTAACATTAATCTTCACTTTGTAACTCTCTGCGACCCTTTTCTCTAGCTAAAAACAGAGGAGATCTGCACAGTCTGCTACATTCCTTGGATACCATTCTTCTMTGAACATGCTTTACTGGCATTTTAGAAACCTTTTTAGACATAAAATGGTGCAGCAAATATTTCACCTTACACACCTCACCCCTTTAACCCTGAAGGTCCTGACAGAGGACATTATTTATGAGGGAAAAAAGGTCATAATTAGGAAGATTGGCTTTTGTGACACAACAAGCAGAGTGAAAGAGGGGCTTGTGGAGTACAATAAGGAGGAATTCAGACTAAAGCATTGCACTTCCACTTTCCATAGACCCCGAGTCAACGAGTTAAATGTGAAAAAGAAGGATTTAAAAGCATGACATGTCTACTTTAAAAATATTAAGTCCATTTTTGTGCATCTATCTACCTGTTCGGACGTCTGCCCCGTCACGGTGTCGTGTTGTTCTGCAGGACAAAAGCAAAACTTCACGTCCCTCAACGCTTGATTTGTCTCCCTCACCAGTGATTACGAGATCCGCTGCCGACCGGCCCACGGTTTCCACCACGTCCTCAGCATGACCGGAAACATGAGCGAGTTCACCCGCGTGATCAAACGCCAGCGCATCTCGGGCAACATGGACACCCCCGAAGGAGGCCTGGACGCCATGCTGCAGGCCGCCGTCTGTCAGGTGAGTGGGACGTTGGACGATCTGCCTGCGGGGTGGAAGAAAGCGGCGTTTGTCCCGGGACAATGGAGGCCCTCTGACTCAGCAGTGCATGCTCACCCTGGAATCCCCTGTATTAGACATCACTGCTGGAACGTGACACACATAAAGCTACACAGCTGCTCACAATACGGCTGCAGGAGGGCTTTGAGTCACACAACATACGAGGGGCGCCGCCGCTCAGCAGATTTCAGGGAACCACCACCATGCTTGGTCCGGTCTAGAAATAGCCTCTCCATGACATCATAGCTACTCTAAGTTTCCTTAAATACACATTGTCCCGTTTTCTCACGCCGTCTCCGATGATTCACAGACGTGAAGACGGAGACTCGATGTCTGACACTCGAACTTCTGCTGCTTTTTTTCTCTAATTTGGCGTTACAGAAAGACCTGATCATCGAGGAAACTAATGCAGTTCAGATGAATAAAATATTTGAGTGTGCGCTTTTTTTCCCCTTCTTTTACCACACTTGTAAATCTTGAAAATATGAAGCATGCACAGTTTTCCACATCAGCAGATTAGAACGTTGATAAGTAGTGATTTAAGAGATTAACAATGGGTGGGTGAGGGGAATTTGGGGAACTGATTCCCAGAAGAAAAAAAAAGTAGATCTAGCAGGTCTGTGGTGCTGATGTTTGGGACTCAAAAGGCGAACTGTGGTGTTATATATTGATCAAGTTTCCACTATAATAAATTGCTGCCTCACTGCATTTTTAACATCTTTTTTATATAAACTTAGAAAAGCAAATAAAGAAATTTGAGTTTGGTAGATTATTTCTTTGGTGTAACAATGCTCCATTTCAAGTCTGGTAAATTCCCTGTTAAATGGTGCCACATTAGGGACATGCATTTGTGGGATTAGCTGAGTATGTGGGTTGCACACTTGAAAAATTTGTTAAATCTTCTTTGCTAAACACTTTATTTTGCTGTTGATATTGACTCTTGTTTTCAGCTTCTGGTACTCCCAGGTGCTGCCAATCAAGCGCCTGCTATAAGATTTGTTGCCAAAAAGCATCATCACAACAAAGAAATAATCTAACAAACACAATTTTCATTACTTTAACTTTTATTAACCAGTAAATAAAATTGTTCAAAATTGTCTTTCAAATTATTTTTCTCTCATCTTGTGATAGACTTGGTTTGTTTGTTTTATACACAGAATTTCCAGGATTCCAAATTCTAGGAGACAGTTTTTCTGAATATTTGTCAAAATAATTGACATCTTTGGTTTATTTTTATTTATTTATTTTTTGTCTTGGTTCAGAATGCAGTTGGATGGCGACCAGAGGCGAAGCGTCTGTTGCTCCTGATGACCGACCAGCCGTCTCATCTCGCCCTGGACAGCCGGCTAGGTGGGATTGTTGTGCCCCATGATGGCCGCTGTCACCTGGAGAACAACGTTTACACTGGAAGCACCAGGATGGTGAGATGATGAAATTGGTATAACTCAATATTTAAGCATCAGGACCACAAGTTCAATTAAAATAAAGCATCTTTACTACCTCCGACAGGATCATCCCAGTTTGGGTCAGCTGTCAGACAAGCTGCTTGAAAACCACATCTACTCTGTGTTTGCTGTGGAGAAGCTGCAGTACCAGTGGTATGAGGTAATTGTGTGTCTGCAGCAGCTGATCAGTATCACTCTGTGTCTTTAGAGGTATTTTTGTATGAACTGGGATCAGTTTGAATCATTCCTCTCACCTCCATCTCTGTTTATAGGAGCTGGTCCGGCTGCTGCCTGGATCCTACCTGGGAAAGTTAAGCCTCTTCCAGGCGCCGAGCCTTATAGACCTGGTGGCAGATGCATACAAAGTAAAAAAATAAAACAATTACTCATCTGCACTTCCCCTTTAAGAGCTCTTTGTCCTTCCTCTGTGTCCTTTTTGCCTTTCTGACAAAGACAGAATCAAGTGAAGCCCAGCAGCACAGAAAGCGCTGCCTTTACCAGCCAACACATCCCTTTATCGAAAATAAGGAGGCGTTTTCTGGCTAATCTTCACACGTTAAAGGAAAATCCTAACATTTCAGAACAAGCTTTATTATAAGGGGTGCTGTGTTTTTGAAAGTGTGCAGCTTACTTAAAATTCTGACTTTGAAAATCAGATGAAAGTGAACGTTTGCAGCTGCACTGAGAGACAACACAGATAAAAGAATTTAAAGCATGATAGGGCTTTTTTTGTGTGTGTTTGTTTATAAGACTAGAAGTTAGTTCAGCCACGGTCTAAGCCATGATCTAGCCTGCGGCACAACACTCCATTGTTTTCCCCTTCCAGAATCTGCCGAATCCACAGATCTGGGTGTGCAGCTCTGCATACGTGCAGACACACAAAAACACACACAAAGAAGCAGGGCCTGAACAGAAGCTACCATTATAATAGCTATCAGATCCCCCACAGAAACTGTGTCCTCAACGGGAATGAGCACAAAGATGCTATTTTTAGGCTCACCTCCTCCTCATAAATCCTCCTGTGGGTCAGAGAGAAAAAAATACAAGGAAAGAAAGATTTGTTGTGTTTACAGTCAGCTTAAAAGGTTGATTTGTTTTCAGAACTGGGTGTTACATTTAATGATTTGTGTTTGTCGATGCTCTCCTCCTTAGAGGTTGTTGTCAGAGGTGGCGGTTTCGGTGGCGGTGGAGGACGAGGCAGTCAGCAGGTTCCGGGTGTCCGTCTCTCCTCTTTGTCCTCACGGGTCCACTGCCAAAGACCAGAGCTGCTCGGGGGTGCAGCCAGGGCAGACGGTAAACACGAGCCCACGCCTTCACCACACAACACCGTCGAAGGTCGTGCATGGATTAACGCAGCATTAAAGTGCAGCCACATGTTATTTATGTTTTATACAAAAGTCCTTGCAACAGATGTCCAGAAACGTGATAAAACACGTCACTGGGAGCTTAACGTGACAGAAAAGCTGAGCGGATTACAGCTCTTATTTAACAGCAAAACATTTCCACGTGAATTCATAACTTTGTTGTAAAATCATCACCCTTACAAGATAAGTCACTAAAATAAAAATATATATTATATTTAGAAATGGATCATTGGATTTTCCTCTGCAGGACACCTGTTTCTTTATTTAGCTGATAAAAAATGTAGTTAAACCTGCACTGAAAGTGTTTTTTTTTTGCTTCAGTAATAAAAGAACACCATTAGTTTCTATCTAGAAACATTTCAGCACAGTTAAGAAATCTTATTTTTCTGTTCACTCCCTTAAATCTCTCAGAGATTTCCCTCCATCACATTTTTTCCCGTTCTTTGTCGCACCCCAACGAGCTTAATCATCCATAGTTGCTCCATTGTGCGCAGACTAAGGCTTTTTCATCCACGGGAGGATTAAGCTGAATTATGGAAAGTACCAAAACTTACCAGAAGGACGATAAACATCAAGAGAGAACTTGACCATAGATTTAAATCTTTGTTAGGCGCAGTTTTCAGCATGAACGGCGTAATTATTCAAGCTGGGTCACACTCGGGCTTTTATTAAAGATTTCCACTCAGCCGGAGCCGGGCAGCACCGTGCCTGACATCCTGCACCGAGAACTATCTTCACCCAGAATCAACTATAAACTGTATGAGTTGTATAAAAATAACTAAGATCAGAAGAAAAGTCAAAGTCTGCCAATGGCTCATTGAGGTCACCGTGGTAAACACATTTTTAAAGTTATTTTGACTGAACTGTACGTCGTGCCGTGAATAGCTACCAAAAAGTCCACTATTCCTGACTGAGCCACACAGTTTTATGTTTGGCACTTTGTGTCTAGGTTTTTCTATAAAAAAATTGTGACAGAAAAAAAAGACAGACGAATTGTAATAACCTGCTTTAAACTTTAAAGGACACATATCAAGCAAAATCCACTTTATTAGCCATAAAATGCATTTTCTGTGTGTTGGGGAGACCGGGGATGATTGTAACACGGGGTGAGTTGTAACACCACCAGTTGTACCATTTAGAGAGCAGATAGAAGTCATGTGATTATTTCAATATTAAGCCACTCACTTCCCAACCTCACATGGTGATATCAGGGTTGAAAGTTGATGTGTTCAAATTTTAATGAGAAAAAGTTGATTTTYAGGTAAGAAAGTAACTTTTTTTTGACCAAAGGTACATTTTGTTTGGTTCTTACACAGTTACAGCTAGAATCATAAAACTGATGTTGCTTTAAAAGGTATCTTCTCAGGCAAAATGTGATACATTTTTCCTCAGCTCATTTCAAWGCACAGTGCTAATARAGCTAGCTAAACAATGGCTGACAGGCATGGGGTGGATTGTAACACTATACAACCCGTCAGATCTGTGGAGAAAGAACATGGGATTTATACACACTGATATATACTGTGAATCACTACAGACTCCGAGGAAACAGGAATCCAGTGATCTTACCAGTGTTTATTACAGAACTAGCAACGATTTTTGAGGCACAACAAAAGATCTTGTTACTATTTGAGTCTAGCAGCAGACTGACAAGTTAACCAGAGGAGAGAACTAAACTGGGTGTTTGACATTATTTGAAAAAGTGACAAACATTGTTCTGGATTGTTGTGTTCCTCAAATAAAATTGTTGTAAAACGAAATCTACAACATAGCCTCTATTTTTGCTTCTTTTGGCTTATTGTTACAACTCATCGCAGCATATGTTACAACCTACCCCACTGAGGTAAGTTGTAACAAAGAGCCTCTGTGTCTTTGACATTAAGCCACAAAGTCTTTGATGTACTTACAGAATTTTCAATCAATACCATTTGTAGTAAACACATGTGAGTATTTTGTAAAACAGTTTGAGAACTCTATCTCCAAAAACCGAGGAGTTTAATATGGTGAAGCAAAAAGTGTTACAACCAAACCCGGTCTCCCCTATTGGAGTCTCTGGGAGTGCAGAAAATTAGAAGTTAATCTCTACTACCTGGTTGCAGCAGGATCCAGGTCCTAACCTTGTTTTTTTATTTTTATTTATTTTTTCATAACAGGTGTACTTCAATATCACCATTGGCCAGCGCTCCTGTGCTAATGATGGTAAAGATGAAGACATAACGGTGCTGGTTCGCCCAGTGGGTTACAATGAGTCCACTGTCATCAAAATCCACTCTAAATGTCACTGCAGTTGTGGACAAATGGGACGCTGCAGCGAACTTAGCCAATCACCTTGCGTGGATCAGGAGCAGAGGTCAGATCATGGCCATATGAAGGACTCACTGACAGATCCTAACAGGAACTGCAGAGCAGATGGGTCCGACGTGGACTGCAGCGGCCGCGGAGTGTGTGAATGTGGGCAGTGTGTGTGCGACCAAAGCAGGCTTGGGATGATATACGGGAAACACTGTGAGATGGATGACTTCTCCTGTCCGTATGAGAAAGAGCTGCTGTGCGGCGGTAAGAAAACACACCCTGGAYCATAACATTTTAGTTCCTAAAAATATCACAGCATCTTGTTTTGTTGTTCTCTCTCAGGTCGAGGTGTGTGTATGTCAGGGGAGTGTGTGTGCGAGGTTGGGTGGACGGGCGATAGCTGCGGCTGTCCCACCTCCACATCTGCCTGCCAGTCGCCAGATGGCTCGCTTTGCAGTGGGCGGGGSAAGTGTGTGTGTGGAAAGTGTGTGTGTGATGACCCTGAACGGTACGGAGACTTTTGTGAACGATGTCCCACCTGCCAAAACACGCAGCAAATTTGGTAAATTTCTATCACTGTCTCCATCGCGACAAAAAAACATTCTCACATGAACATATATAGGTTGAAGCCATGTACTCCTGTAATTTGTCCTGTGTGCCACTTTCTCTCCTGTCTCCAGTAAGAGTGTGGACTGCAATCATTCTCAGCATCTCCCATGGACAGAGAGYGACCGGTCCAACCACACATGTGCACTAATGGCTGCCTCTATAAACTGCGTATCAGGTACGTCCAAGAGAAACTTAAAGAGCAACTATTTTCATGTGTTGTGCAAACAGGAGTGCTAAGCAATGACAAGTTTTTGTCATCAGTGTGCACAAGGGGTTAATGTGGAGCTTTGACATGTAAACACAGTGTTAGCACCTAGCATGGCTAACAGTGTATTAGAGAAAAGTTGCTGCAAATATGAAGGAGTAAGAATTTAAACAGGTAAAGATCAGGTTGAATGGCAGCTATAATGATGAGGTCCATCACCTAGTGGGTCAGTGAGATTCTTGGTTATTTGGACTTTTTTAATGCATTTTTTATTATTATTTCAAAGTTATGTCTTTAAACACACATTAACATGAATCTAACATGCAGCAAATTAATAATAATAATAATATATTTC